ATACTTGTGAGGAGTGTGCCTCTTAGCTCAAGTAGATACAAGAGACTAAACGGGCAGCTTCTGTCCGGAGGTGAGATGGGAAGGCAGAGAGGGTTAATAGCTGGTTGAATGGACATGGGGAATCAGGGGTGGAAAAAAGGAGTGTGCTGTCACAGTATGGGGAGAGCAATTAGGGTCACATAACAATCTATGTATAAATTTTTGTATGGGAAAAAATAAAAAAGTAAAAAAAAGAAAGAAATTCTTAGGGACTGACTAGCTCCATGTGCTGGCAGAACTCTGGTGTCATTTCAATTTTAACATGGTACCAGGCTCCCTGCACAAAGGTAGCCAAACATGTTCACGGAATCCTGGAATGTTGGGTGGACAAATGGTGGCCTGCCGCCAGACTGGACTTCACAGCCTGGAATTTGGGGAAATGATAGGTTGTTGATTCCTTACCATGTCTCTTTGTGTGAGTTGACACCCTTGGACCTCTGATGGGGGCTGAAAGAGTTTACAGTGAGGATCCCTAAGGGGAAAAGAAAATGGAGGAGCATAGCATGATGTCTACTCCTTCCCCTGACTACCCACCACAATGCAGGTCTTAGCCTGGGAGGAAGGAGGTGTTAAGCAGGAAGCTGAGGAGCTGCTTTCACAAAAAACCATGGTAGACTCTGAGTCAAGTTGTGCAGCTTGGGGCCCACAGAAGCAGACAGGCACAAGGTTTAGGAGAGGGCCTCTGTCTTTGGGGCCCACGGAGGCAGACAGGCACAAGGTTTAGGAGAGGGCCTCTTGCCTCCACTCTGTTCAAACCCCAGGGCAGCTTCAGGGCCAACTCATCCATTAGGACCAGAGGCCCAGTGCCTGGGTCCCATGACGCTTTTAGGGGCTCATAAAAGTGTTTTAATTTCTTTTAAAATCAGGAGAAAACTGAATGTAATAATATTGGCCACGTCATCAGGAAAGATCAATCGCTAGAGAAAGACATCATGGTTGGTAAAGTAGAGGGTCATCGAAAATGAGAGAAACCTTCCATGCGGCGGAGTGACACACCAACGATTGTGAAGATGGTGTAGGACAGGGCAGCGTTTCGTTTTGTTGTCCACGAAGTCACCATGAACCGGCGCCAACTCAGTGACGACTAACACAGGCAATAACGAATCCAGCCTGGATTGTGTTTGTCTTCATCACCACACAGCAGTAAAATATACTCTTTAATAACTTTACAGAGGAAGGGGCCAATGCAAGCAAAGCCACCGAAGACCATGGACATCTGGCTGTGGCCCTGGGCAGCCTGGGTGCCGCAGTGGCCACTGCTTTACTCAACAGATGCATTTTCACCCAGAGATCCCAGCGAAGGGGCATCTGAGAAGCCTGATGGGGTGGGAGGGTTGCATGGCTCTGTCCCTGCACAAGCTGAGATGGTGAGGGGGCTCCAGAAGCTCCCTGGGGAGATGATGAAGAGGGCACTACTTGTGCAGGTGGGGGCAAGAGCAGCAAGTTCTTTTCGTCATATGTCACTTGTAGCTGCACACACAGGCTGGGGCCATTGAATGATCCCTTTAGGTTTGGGGGCAGCATCACAGTTTTTTTCCCAGGCGGTGCTACTCCACTGGGATCAGAAGCTGGGGCTCTGCGGTGCAGTCCCCGAGATGTGTAAGCACCTCCTTTGCCTAAAACGGGGTGCACCAGAAGCCTGGGGAGGCCCAAGTGCTCTGGGCTGGAAGCCCAGCTCCCCTCCTCTGGGTGACCATGGCCTTCTTTGACGCTTTGTGCTTCAGTTTCCCCATCTGTCAAGTGGAGATCAGAAGGACTCTTTTTCATGGGATGGCTGTGAGGGTTAAATGCGATAACGTGTCAGTGCTTAGAACCACAAGTTTCAGGGGCGTGTCCTCAGTAAAGGCAACAAGGAGGAGGAGAGGATGAAGAGGAAGGGGAAGGAGGGCTGGGTTGCCATCTCTTCGCGTGCTGGCCACGAAGCAAGGCCCAAACCTTCACTGTCTGTCGGGCGGGCCCCCCTGGGTAGTGTGAGAACTCGCTTCGGGTTGTGCCGAGGTTCAACGAGGTGTGATCTGGCTGGAGAAGGAGCGTTTGGGTGCCTGGGGCCTGCGCTCTGTCAGAGAACGGACCCCTGACCAGTAGCCTTTGTGAAGGACCATGTGTTGAAAGATCAGCGCAGGGGAAGGGATGCCACTGAGCAGGGGGCTGAGACCCATCTGTACGTGGACTATCTGGCCAGTGGCAAAACAGCATGTGCGCCAGCCTGGCGAGCCTGGGGGGCGGGCGGCGGTCAGCGAGCAGTGCGGGCGATGGATGCTGATGGAAAGGCAAACTTCCTGCCAGCCCTTCTAACAGCTCGGGGGGCCTTTTGGAAACAATTACTCAGACTCCCAGGTGCCAGTGCCGGGCTGGGCCCTGAGGCCCCAAGGATGGTCCCTGCCTCCTAGAACCTTGTCCTATAGGCCGAGGAGCCCATGAAGCCGTCTGCGGGGGTCAAGGCCTCTGGGAGCCAGCTCGACTCCCCGTTCTAGAGATGGCCAAGCAGTGTGGAGACGAGGCGTCCAGGCCCAGAGCCGACTGTGGGCTGGATTCCTGCTCCCCACTTTCTAGCTCTTTGACTTGGGGCAAGTTACTCAGCTCCTCCTGCCCTTGCGATTTTTTCGAAGGTTAAATGAGATGATGTGTGTGCGTGTTTAGAAATGGTGCACCCTCCCTGTGGTTCTTGTTCTGCCTCAGGATCGTGGGAAGGCGTGGCGAAGGCATCCTACAGAAGAAGAGGAAAGGGGGGTGTGCCCAGGTGGGAAGGAAGCTTCACAGCGGGGCCAGGGCTGTGTCGAGTGATAGGGCATGGTCCAGCACAGCTAGAGTGTAGGGGTGTGCTTGAGTGCATATGAGTGTGTGTGTGTATCCTTACATATCTATGTATGCATGCATGTGTGCATGTGTGCATGTCTATGTGTATGTGTCCATGCTGTATATGTGTGTATGTATATGTGTGTGTGCATGTATGTGTGTATGTGTTCATGCTGTATATGTGTGTATGTGTGTGTGCATGCATGTGTGTATGTGTTCATGCTGTATATGTGTGTGTATGTGTGTGTGTGTGCATGTCTGTGTGTATCAGTATGTCAGTATGCTTGTATTTGTGTATGTGTGTAGGTATGTGTGCATGTGTGTATGTATGTGCATGTGTACATGTGTGCATGTATGTATTCAAGGTGCACCTGACCCAAGCCATAGTGTTTTCAGTCACCTCATATGCATGCGAGAGCTGGACAATGAAGAAGAATTGACACCTTTGAGTTATGGTGTTGGTGAAGAATGTTGAATAGACCATGGACTGTCAAAAGAATGAACAAATCTGTCCTGGAAGAAGTACAGCCAGAATGCTCATTAGAAACAAGGAGGGCGACACTATGTCTCACATACTTTGGACATGTTATCAGGAGGGACCAGTCTCTAGAGGACATCAAGCTTGGTAAAGTAGAGGGCCAGCAAAAAAGAGGAAGACCCTCAACGAGATGGACTGACCCAGTGGCTGCAACAATGGGCTCAAGCAGAACAGCAGTCACAAGGATAGCGCAGGACCGGGCAGTGTTTCCTTCTGTTGTACACGGGGTCGCTATGAGTTGGAACCAGCTTGATGGTACCTAACAACAACAACAGCAACAATCTGTATGTGTAGGTGTGTATGCATGTGTGTGTGTATATGTGTGTGCATGTATACGTGTACATCTATGTGTTTATGAGTGTATATATGTGTGTATGTGTATACATGTGTATGTATGTGTATTGTGTAGATGTGCGTATGTGTATATATGTGTGTTGTTTATATGTGCGTGTACGTATGTTTGCACATGTGTAGACATGTATGTTTGTGTATGTGTGAATGTATTTGTGTGTGCGTATGTCTGCACATGTGTGTACGCGTGTGTGTATGTGTTGCTGGGTGCCCTCGAGGATCTGAGCATTAGCGAGGAGCAGGGGCGGGGGGAGAAGAGATTTGGGGGATGACCATGAAGAGCCATATCATAACAATTTGGGGCTTCCTTTGCAGGCCTTGTGGAAACATGACTGCTTTTGAAGCCGTGGGGTGACAGACTTCCACTTGGGTTCCCCATTGGGGGTACAGGTGGGGCAAGTCGGGGCGCGGAGACCCTGGGCATTGTGCGCAGCCCATAAGGCAATGGCTCTGGTGGGGAGCAGGGCCGGAGCCACCCTGGACGGAGGTCACCACCCAGCCCAGCCTCTCAGCAAGGCCAGCAGGAACATAGGAAAGTTCTCCTTGGGGGAGATTTATGACTGGCGATGACTCTCCCTTGTTTGTGGGGGGAGCTTGGCTGCCCCTGAGCTTGGGCACACGTGGAATACAGTCTCTCCCCAGAAAGCTCCGTGGCCTCTTGGCTGAGCTGAGCCGGGGGCTGCCCCAGAGCCTCTGTCAAATCAAGAGCCTCCAGGCAGCCACAGTGACAATGGCCGCCATTCAACGGGCGGCTGTGAAGTCGGGAGGTGGCGGGTCCCTGCCGCTGGCCTTGAGCCTGGTCGTGTGATGCCCTCTCCTTCAGCTGGCCTCACCCCCACAGACAGATGCAACGCGGAGAAAGAAAATAAAGACAAGGTGAGTATTCCTGGGCGGCGGCGGCAGCTGCCTTTGTGTTGACCCCTGTCTTCCCTTTGCCAGGCCGTGGAGCCAGCTCGGCCATGGGGGGAGCAGACACTTGGTGTCTGCCTGGAGACACAGCTCTTGGTGATACTAGTGTTATTTAGGAGCTCTGTGCCTCAGCCCTGGACTGAGCATCCTAATCTCATTTCTTCCCCGCGAGAGTCTTGTGGGCTCTGCTGTCCTCTCCACTCAACAGCCAGGAACGTGAAGAAGGGGAGGGATGCAGCAGGAGGTGGTAGAAGCTGAGGCCCTGGGTGGTACAAATGACACTCAGCTGCTAGTCCAAAGGTTGGAGGTTCGAATCCATCCAGAGACACCTTGGAAGAAAGACCTGGAGATTTACCTCCTGAAAATCCTATGGAGCACAGTCCTTCTCTGACACATATGGGGTCTCCATGGGTTGGAGTAGACTCCATGGCAACTGGTTTGGTTTAGGTTTGGTAAAGGCTGGATTTGAACTCGATACCTTTGACTTCGAGCCTATGATCTTAACCTCCTCACCATTTTTTCAAATCAGGCTTTCCAGCTGCAGCACTACTTACATTTTGGGCTGGAAAAGGCGGCTGTTCTGTGCATTGCAGGATGTTTAGCAGCGTCCCTGGCTTCCACCCAGCAGGTGCTGGTAGCACCTCCTCCACTCACTTGTGACCAAAAGACCAAAAGTGTCTCCAGACACTGTTTGATGTCTTCTGGGGACCCCAATCAATCCCAGTTGAGAACTGCTGCTTTAGGGAGAGGCTAAGGTGACCTCAGAAATGTCTGCACCTGCCCCTTTTCCCCTAGCCCCAACCGCAGTACCAACCGCATCTGCTGGGTTGGACTTCTGAAAGTGAATTCTCAGGTCTTGTCCGCAGGCTGCACAAGACCATGTGCCGTGGCCAGGCAGGAGGCAAAGATCGTGCGGGCACGGAAACTTCACGTGCCTTCTACCCTGTCTTCTGGTTCACGGGAGCTGCCACAAACAGAGCTCATGCTATCTGAGGAGGAGTTAAACATGCCACCCACACCTTCACCTGCCACTTTGTCATTCTGTGTCAGGCTGCCTATGGTGTGAGTGTGACAATGGCCCAGGGGTCTTGACAGTTGTCGACGGCGTGCTGACGAGGGTGTGGGGAGGCAGGTGCCCTGATGATCTGCTGGCACAGGTCAAAATGACAGCCACCTTTTGGGAGGATCGTTGGGAGCTGGGGCCAAGCCGCGATGAAACCTGTATGTTCTGTGATTCGAGATTCCCATCTGGAAAGAATCCCACAGACGTGCTGAGCTGTCCGCCAAAAAATGTTCATCTTGGCCGTTGCATAACAGTGAAAAACTGAGCACAACGTAACAGCCCATCCTCTGCAGACTACACAAAGTCAACCCTGGAGCCACCTTGCACTGACCTCCCGCAAACACAGACACACGTTCGTACCTATGGACGTGGAAGACGCTCAGTAGACGTTGTTATAGGGAACAAAAGGGTTACTAAACAACACGCAGAGGGTGCGTCCATCCTGGTGGGAAAAATATATATATTAGTTGCCGTTGAGTGGATTCTGACTCATGGCAACGCCATGTTTGTACAGTAAAACTGCTCCATAGGGTTTTCAAGGATATGACCTTTTGGAAGCAGATCTCAAGCCTGTCTTCCAGTGTATCTCTGGGCGGGTTTGAACCATCAGCCTTTCGGCTAGTAGTCGAGCATTTTATATACATACATATATATATATATCCACCACCCATCTGTCAGCTTGTCAAACTATGGTGCCTTGCATATTGTTGGGATACTGGAAGCTATGCCACCGGCATTTCAAATACTAGCTGGAAGTGGAGCAGAGCTACCTGACTAAGACAGACTAGGAAGAAAGGCCTGGCTATCTACTTCCAAAAATTAGCCAATGAAAACCTTATGGATCACAACAGAACATTGTCCAACTTACTTGTTTTGGACACATCATGGGGGGGATCAATCCCTAGAGGAGGACAATGTTTGGTGAAGTGGAGGGCCAACAAGGGCATGGGAGACCCTCAGTAAGAAGGATTGGCAAAGTAGCCACAATGACAGACTTGAACATGCCAAGGATTGTGATGATGCAGGATGCAGAACTGGGCAGCATTTTGTTCTGTTGTACATAAAGTCACTGTTAATAGTTGCTCTGGTAGGTGAGAGATCGGTGATTCAAACCCACCAGCCACTCCCCAGGAGAAAGACCTGGCAATCTGCTTCCGTAAAGATTATATAGCCTGGGAAACCTATAGGACAGTTCTACTGTGTCCTACAGGGTTGCTATGAATTGGAATCAGCTTGACAGCAATGGGTTTGGTTTTGTTTTTTTGGGGGGTGGTGCAAACAGTTGATGTGCTCAGCTGCTGACCAAAAGGTTGGAAGTTCAAATCCACCCAGAGGTACCTCTAAAGAAAAGCCTGGTGATCTACTTCCAAAATATCAGCCATTAAAAACCCTGTGGAGCATAGTTCTACTCTGACGCACGTGGGGTCTTCATGTATCAGAGTCCACTCCATGGTGACTGTTTTTTTAACCAGTAGAGGGAGAGAAGCCACATGGAGGAGAGCCCAGTTGCCCCAGCCAAGGCCATCTTAGACAAGTAAACAGTCAGCCAGCAGCTAGCTGACCCCAGACATGTGAGAAAGTCCAGCCAAGATCAGGAGAGCCATCGACCTAAACCACAGCTGGCCCCAGGTGAATGAGTGAGCCCAACCAAGTCCAAAAGAACTCTCCAACTGATCTGTAGACTCATGAACAATGATACATGCACTTTATTTTAAGCCATTGGGGTTGGGGCTGTTTGTTATGCAGCAGAAGCTAACTGATGTACAGTGAAGAGACCAAGGCTCAGAGCAGAGACTTGATTTGTCCAAAGTCACACTCCTACTTGGTGTTGGCTCCGGAGGGTAGACTCTGACTCCAGGGGGAGGCTTTTCTGATTAAATACAGAGAAACATGAGATAGAATCAGTCCCAGTAATGACATAACCAGAGTCAATCAAGGGTTTGATTCAATAGCATAAAAAACTTCCAGGAGAATTAAGCTTCACAGCAGGATGAGAGATGGTCCGGAATCTCTCCAGTGGCCCTCAGCTTCCAGGCTGAGCAGCAAGAGAACATCCAGGCGTGTTTGTAGCTCAGACTCTGTTTCTTAGCACCTCGTATGGGCTCCTGGCTCGGGGAAGGGAACAGATTGGGCTGTATGGAGTGAGAGAGATACAGCAGAGACAATGCTTCCAGAAGCAGCTTTAGTCGAAGTTAACAGCACAGCTCATTTCCCGGAGCATGAGGCTGGGAGGCCCTGCAGGGCTGCAAAGGCTCACTTTGTGGATAGAAGGGAACATTGCCCCTTGACTTTGCGCTTGGGCTTAGAGAACTGAGGTCTGTGTCAAAGAGAAGGCCTGTGGGGATGTGGGTGGGCAAGTCTGGCGTGGACCCTGTGTGACCCTGTGGAATGTCTCTGAATCTCACTTTTCCATCTATCATGAGGATGACCGCTGTACCTAACCACTAGGCAAAGAAGCAAGAAAGAGGTGTTCCAGAGACAGGAAAAGGCCTGTACTAAACCAGGTTGCAGAGAGGTCACGCTCATGGACTTGGGTCGCATGTGGTTTCCCTGCTTTAAGAGCTGTGCAGCCTTGGGTAAGTCACAATTTCTTGGGTTCCCATTTTCCACAATCCTCTGTAGAAGTAAGATTCTCTGTAGAAGGAACACTTGATTGAGAATCAAACAGCAGAGATTATACAATGGATTCGAAGGCAACAGGTTTGGTTTGAGCCCTGGTGGCGCAGTGGTTAAGAGCTCGGCTGCTAAGCAAAAGGTCGGCAGTTCAAATACACCAGCCACTCCTTGCAAAGCCTATGGGGCACTTCTACTCTGTCCTATAGGGTCACTATGAGTTGGAAACAGCAACAGTGGTAAGCAGAATTCTAAGATGGCCCTAAGAGTCCTGTCCCCTAGTGCATGCACCTTGTATAATCCCCTTCTCTTGAGTTGGGTGGGACCTGTGGATATGATGGGCAGATGTAATTAAGGTTACTAATCAGTTGACTTGGAGTTCAGTAAAAAGGAGAGTATGTGGTGGGCCTGAGCTAAGCCCACCAGCCCTTTAAATCTGAGTCTAGAGGTCAGAGACACAGAAGTCAGACAGATTCGAAGCATGAGAAGGATTTGGGTGAAGGCAGAGCCTCTACTGTTTGCTTTAAAAATGGAGGTGGTCACATGGTAACGAGCTGGGGGCAACCTCTATTTGCTGAGAGAGGCCCCCGGCTGACAGCTAGCAAAGAAATAGGGACTTCAGTCCTACAACCACAAGAACTGACAGAATCCGAGTCACATGGCAGAGTCTTAGCCAGCAGTGGAAAGCATCTGCTGCTCCTCGCCTCTGAAGTCCCAGACAGACGGGCCCACAAAGCTGGCGGGCCATACTCCCCATGCTGGCTGTGCTTCCGGAAATACAGAGGGGAGATTTGAGGAGACGCCTGTAGTTTCCAGGCTTCGAAGACCCGGTAAGTGCCTGAGCCTGCACCCTGTGTTCACGTCACTTATCACAGATCCCCTCAGGGCTCTGTTGTCTTTAGGATAAACGGTGCACTCTGAAGCCTGCGCAGTGGGCCCTGTCCAGCCAGGCGCCTTGTTCTGTGGTCCTCTGCCCTCTACCATGTACGGCTGTCCAGACCTTCTCAGGCTGACACTTGGGGTTCAGCAGGCTGGGTTTGACTGGCAGTGAGCACACATACACACGTAGACAAAAAATAACAGTTGCCGTGGAGTTGACTCTGACCTACGGCGACCCCACGTGTGTCAGAGTAGAACTGTGCTCCACGGGGTTTTCAGTAGCTAATTTTTCAGAAGTAGATCACTAAGCCTGTCTTCTGAGGCCTCTGGGTGAACTGGACTCTCTAAACCTTCTGTTAGCAGCTGAGCCTGTTAATCCTTTGCACCACCCAGCTTAGGGTTTGCCTGGGACTGATTGGTTTTCCCAGATGTGAGACTTTCAGTGCTAAAACCAGGAAGGTCCCAGGAACACTGGGATTCCTGGGGGTTGGGGGTTGAGAGTTTTTTTTTAATAAACTTTAAATTTCAGAAGAGTTTTAGGTTTACAGAATTATTGCAAAAATAGAGTTCCAATATACTCTACACCCAGTTTTGCCTGTTATTCACATCTTACGGTCGTATGCTCCATTTGTCATAATTAATGAACCAGTGAAGTCCATGCTTTATTCAGATGTCCTCAACTTCTCCCTGTTGTAATTGTTAGTTGCCATTGAATTAACTCTGACTAGATTTCGAGTTGATTCTATGGAGTGTAGAACTGCTCCATAGGATGTTCAAGGCCGTGAACTTTTGGAAGTAGATCACCAGGCTCTCTTCCGAGGCACCTCTGGGAGAATACAAACTGCCAGTCTTCGGGTTAGTAGCCCCAGGACTTCATCCAGGATCCACATTCCATTTAGTTGTTATATCTCCTCTGGGCTTCAGACTTCCTTTGTTTTGATGACCTTGAGAGTTTCAAGGAGAACTGATCAGATATTTTGCAAACTGTCCCTCTATTGGAATTTAATATTTTTCTCCTGATTAGCCTTGGGTTAGAGGTCTTCTGTTGTTGTTGTTCTTGAGAATATATACAGCAAAACATACACCAATTCAACAGTTTCTACATGTACAACTCAACGACATTGATTACATCCCTCCAGTTGTGCAACCATTCTCGCCCTCCTTCTCTGAGTTGTTCCTCCCCCCGAGTTTTGGGTCTTTGGGAGGAAGATCAAAGGGGTAAAGTGCCATTCTCATCGCATCATATCAAGGTACATCCTATTAGCATGACTTCTCTCTCGTGATGCTGATCTTGATCACCTGGCTCAGTAGCATTTGTCAGGTTTCTCCACTGGAAAATCACTCTTTGTTTTCTCCTTTCCATACTGCGCTCTTTGGAAGAAGGTTACTATGCACAGCCCCACACTTAAGGGGTAGGAGCTATGTTCCATCTCCTTGAGGATGGACTATCTACAGAAAGTATTTGGAGTCGCTCTGCATGGGATATTTGTCCCTTCTCCCCAATTTATTTA